TATAAATAAATATTTTTAAGTTGGGCCTTCATTCATAATTATTTTCAAATTTGGGTCCCGATGTGTAAATTCCCCTAACGCTAAAATTTATCAATTATTTAAAATAAATCATTAATAAATCATTACAAATATCGCTTAATTTTAATAATCATCCATCAAAAATTTTCGTTCATATGAATATAAACTTTTTGGAAGATTTACTTAAATTCTACTATAACTATGCGCATTGACTGCACAAATTTACAGCAAGACTAACCAAATTGGGCGGGTTAATCAAAATTTTCGTGGTTTGATTCCGAGTAATCTCATGATGTACGAAACTCCCAAAAAGTTTTTTAAATATCTCGATTTTTTATTATTGAAAAATGTAGCCCGTGTCGAAATTTATCCGAATATAGCAAAAACTCGATTTTCATTTTTTTGGCCCTTTCTACTGCAAAGACCCCAATTTTTTTATTCTAGATCCTGATCCTAAACCTAAAATCCTAATTCTGCCAAAACACATACGTACGTACGTACATAATTTACCGAATTACACCGGGAAGAGTTCAATTATGAATCGGAATGATTTCAATTTGGGTGTGATATATACGAATAAATCACTATTGAAAATCATAAATATGAGTTGGCTGTTTTGGTTCTATACGTAGAAAGTGATTGATATTTCTTGATTTCTTGTACCGTACCAAACACAAAAATAATTATCAGTTATCAAGAATCCAAGTTCCTACTACGAGAATTAATACGATAATGAATTACTATCGCTATTATTTTTATTATTTAGTGATAATAATTGTCAGTAATTCAATTTCAGTTTTTTGTCAAAAACAGGAACAAAGAGCATATCGTGAATTAATAACTGAACCAGTTAAATTCACATATAACTCTAAGCGAGTTATTAGCCATTTGGTGTTACCAGTTGTAAGGGATGAATTGTCAATTACACTAAAAATAAATGTTTTAAATCATGATCCTTATAGTGAAAATCAGTACGCGGTTTTTTATAAAGGTATTTACGCATAACTATTAATTACATATTAAAGAAGTTCTTCAGTTATATAAAAACAAATTTATATTTAGGTGTAACGACAGCCAACCGTACACCTTCACTCTGGTTAAAATCGAGTAATTCAACCCCGTGTTTACGTCTCTCGATTACTGGTAATAATGACACTGGAATTAATATGGATGGTTATGGATTCTTACTTAACCGGTGGTACCATATTGCGTACACGCTTTCAGACTCCGAAAAGCGAATAAATTTCTATATAGATAGTAAAT